GTGTCTCTCTGCCTCTCTCCAGCATCTCCACTATCCTTCATAGTGTCTTTCTGTGCCTACTCCCAATGTTCTTTACATCATCGATCTCTGCAGCTGCCACTCACTTTTATCTATTACACGGCCATTTTACAACTGTCAATATCGAAGGGGCCAGACAGCACGAAAATTAAAATGATGGTATTGATTTGCCATGGATATTTGAAGGTTGGAGACCATGAGAATGAGTAAATTGGAGTAGGAGATGTGCAGCAGTCTTGATTTTAATGTGAGAATCAAGAAGTTATTAGAATAAGTTAGAAAAGAAAGTTCCAAAGTGTAAGGAGTATTTTAGTATTGACAAAATAGATGATGTTCTGAACTAAGAATGGGTAGAAAGCCTAACACTTCAAGTTCCTTTTATCCTTACTCACATTACTATAAATTTATTTACTGTTATCAAGTCTTTCTGTTCTAGGCCAAGTGATGAACTAAAATTATTGCAGTAATACATGGGGTGATGAGTCAGATAAATGCTGATTGCATGCAGGGATTATAGAGATATTCTCAGCTTTACCAGACACACACAGTGGTCACTGATGGATCCCTGCTCCCGGGAGGAAAAAAAAGGTTAATTTACCAAGTGTTTTTCAATGCTTATCAGTTCCCCAGCCTTCTGAAACCTCTTGAATTACTGTTTTGAAGATAGTATGGAACCAGTATATTAGCTAATTGCAAAAATCACCAGAATCCAGAATCAATGAACTTATTTCCTCTGCTGCCATATTCAAGTTCTCTTTGATGTCTCCTTAAGCGCTAACACCCCTCAAAACCTTAGGTTACCACAATCCTCCTCTGCTAGTGTCTTTAGTCATGTCAAGTCCCAGATTCATCCATTACTTCTGCGCTCACTGACCTGGTTAAGTAATGCCTTGCTTTAAAAATTCTTATCCTTTTCAAATCCCTCCCTTCTTACAATGTTCCAAGATAGCTGCACTGTAATTCAGGCCTCTTGAACATCGCTGGTTTTAATCTCTCTTGTGCTTTCAGCCACCTGGGCAGTGCTCTGGAATTCCCTCCTTAAATCATTCCACCTCTCTATCTCTTTCTTTTCACCTTTAAAGCATGCCTCAAAACCCACAAGTTTGCAAGAGATTTTTAGCCATCTGATTTAGTATCTCCTATATGGCTGAAAGTCAGGTTTTGTATTATAATGCTCCTGAGAAGAAAATAACTTTGGGACGATTTATCATGTTAATGGTGTCATATAAATACAAACTGTTGTTATTGATTCCAAGATAAGCTCAAAGAGAATTGGGACTTGGGGCACCATTTATACCCCTTGGAGTTGGAACAATGAAGAGTGCAGGCTGTTTGTTTACATAGTAGATTCAAGATTCTCAGTTAGACTTCATGTCCAGAACACAGAATGCTATTCAGCTGTGTAAGGCAGAAGAACTCCCACACCAGAAACCAGAAACGCAAATCCCTTTTTGGGTTTGGGGCTAGTTTTGTGCAAGATATTTGATGCTGTACAGCATTGAGTGGGATTCAACCATGTCTAAACTCTTCCAAGACCCATTTATATGTGAAATGTATCAATGGTGTCTTGCTTCACCGTTGTACTCTCTAACAAATCCTCACAAATACATCTCTTGACTTTTTTATTCTCATTGAGATGATGTTCCAAAAAGTCTTGGGTCACTCTTGATAGGAAAGTTGTGTCTGTGATGCAGAACCTCTGTGTGAGTCTAGGAGGCTTTGTTATATCCTGCTGTCACGTCGCATTGTCAACTGGTGGCAAGCTTCACCTCTGTAAAGCTACCCTTGCTGAGAGAGTGCATGTCTCTCCCATTTACTCTGCTGGCATTTTAAATATTTATTGGGATCATGTGGGAAAGGGGAGATAACTAGGGAGTGGAAGCAGCGCACATTTCTGCCAATGCCATTTGGAATGACATGCTCCTGATGAGACCCACTCTCACCCACCCCCATCACCAGAAATGTCTCTGAGTCCAAGCACAAAGAGCAGAAGGAGCTGATGGAGCCTTGAGCGTCTCACAACCCATTTCAGCAAACACCACTTGCCTCACTTGTGGCACAGTGTGTATGATCTAAACTACAATATTATAGAACCTTGTAGAAGGAAGCCATTCAGTCCATCATGCCAACGCCAATCTTGAATGAATTTTCCAACAAGTCTTGCTGTCCTGCTATTTCTCTGAAAACCTGCAATTTTTATTCTTCCTTTTCAAGTATTTATCCGATTCCCTAATCAAAGGATGGTTTCAAACCAACTAGATCCACCCTTTTACCCCCAGTCTCAACTGCACTATGTTGTCTGGCTATTCAAGTCTGCAAAAGGATGTGACCAAATGCAAACCTAAACATCGACACCATGGATCTGTGTAAATACAAGTGATTAAATTTAATGTAACTTCAGCAAATGTATGTATATTTTCCTATGAAAAGTTAAACTTAATCAATTAATATAGGTTCTGTTAGTTACAAACCAAACCACAATTACAAATAGGTTGCAAGAATGGCAATCTGTCTAAATGCAAGGTTGTAGGAGTCCCATATTAAATTAAACTGCAACATCATGAATGTATACTGAAACTAATTTTTCTCTTCACTTCTCCAGCAGACCACAACTTATACATGTGCACAGTTCTATATATTTGACAACCTCTCATACCTCATTCAAGCATTTACCAGGTGAGATTTGTTAACTGCAGGAATCAGCCTATTTAACTGTGAAATTATTTTTACTCAATACCCACACAAATACTTTTTTAAAATTTTCAAAAATATACTTTATTTATAAATAATTATCTTTATATATATATATATATATTCCACATATATATACATACATATAGTCACAAATGCAGTTCCATTCTGTACAGTAGCATATGAAGAAAACAAGCAAACATTGGAGTTTAACTGTATGCAACAAAAAAGCCAAAGGCATCTCTTACATGTACAGGACTATATTTACATGCACTTGAGGCACCAGAAGGGTCTGATAATTGAACAGACGCCAATTTAAAACCTCAGATAGTGGTCTTTCCCCACTGTGCCTTGTGCGTCCTTCAGCACATGGTCCTGGACCTTGGAACGTGCCCGTCTGTAACACTCAGTCAGGGTCACCTCGTTGCTCTGGAAGACCAACAAGTTTCGGGCAGACCAAAGAGCATCTTTCACCGAGTTGATGGCCCTCCAGGCACAGTTGATGTTTGTCACCGTGTGCGGCCCGGGGAACAGGCCATAGAGCCTGAAGTCCTGTGTCACAGAGTTGCTAGGGATACACCTCGACAAAAACCACTGCAACATTCTCCAGCCTTCATTTGCAAAGACACATCCCATGAACCACTGTCAGGAGTGGGACTCCTGGGTCAACAGTCCTACCCTCAACTATTGCTAATATAGGCAATTGTAGTTCCCACACTGTTGTCTAATAGTGACCAATTAATTCACTGCAAGTAAAGGGTCGAACCTGAGGCTATTGATCAGCACCATACCAAGCCATACCCTTACCCGATCTGAGCCATCAGTATACTGGAGAGCCATTTAATTGGGTGAATCCTGACTTGAGTGATGTATTCGTACAATTTATTAGATGTTAATTTGCAAACTGTTATCTAAGATGTTGTACATTTCTTGAAGGTGTCAACAGATTATATGTGATCATTAAAGGATTTGCAATTGAAGAGATGTAACCTTGGTGAAAATTTGCTGTGCTGACAATGCCCCATAAGCTTCTCAGGTTGACGGCTAGGGAAGACTTATAAAAGCTTGTCAGAAGATTTCAGAGCTTGAACACGTAAATGGGGATTATGAGCTTCTGTTCAAGGGTTTAGGGATTGTCCTAGCTAATTGCCAGGCTATAAATGACTCCTGTTTCCCACTTGCAGGCACCAGTGCTGGACTCATCTGGTCTTTGAGAGGAAGACTTCCTTTTTGGAGTATCAGAGGGCTGACAGAACCTACTTATCCCCAGGGATTGTCCAGGAGCTGCTGAAGGGCGTTGACTCGCTGACTTTGGTGTTTCTGTCCAGAGATCCCTTCAGGTACTCACAAATGTTCCCATAATTTATTTTCATTGTTGTTTAATTTAAATTTATTGGTGTGGCTGAGACAGTTTTGGGGAAGGGTAGTGTGGCAGTGAGGGAGAGGGTCTTCAATTTGTATAGAAACATTACCTCATTTTAACAAGCCCCACTCATGAAGATACACCCAGCTCTCTCTCTTTGTCATCTCTCTGACCTGTTTCAATCTTTGGGCTGGTAAGTCTCACTTTTAACGTTTCTCTGATGTCATCTGTGTTACTCAGCCAACAGTAATGTTGAGTTTATTTTTTCTTTTCCTTCTTCTTGGGAATCATTTGGGATGAGGGGGTAAATTTCCTTCTGTGCGGAGTTGTGAGTCCTGAGGTGACTAGACAGTCCATTGCTAGATCCACACACAGTGTGCCACAAGTGAGGCAAGTGGTGTTTGCTGAAATGGGTTGTGAGATGCTCAAGGCTCCATCAGCTCCTTCTGCTCTTTGTGCTTGGACTCAGAGACATTTCTGGTGATGGGGGTGGGTGAGAGTGGGTCTCATCAGGAGCATGTCATTCCAGATGGCATTGGCAGAAATGTGCGCTGCTTCCACTCCCTAGTTATCTCCCCTTTCCCACATGATCCCAATAAATATTTAAAATGCCAGCAGAGTAAATGGGACAGACATGCACTCTCTCAGCAAGGGTAGCTTTACAGAGGTGAAACTTGCCACCAGTTGACAATGCGACGTGACAGCAGGATATAACAAAGCCTCCTAGACTCACACAGAGGTTCTGCATCACAGCCACAAGTTTCCGACTCAACCCCCATTGCCAATATCATAATTTTTTAAATTTTTATTCATTCATACAATGTGGGCATCACAGGCTGGACCATCCTTAATTGCTGTTAAGAACATATAAACAAAAGAACAAGTGTAGGCCGCTCAGCCCTTCAAGCTTGCTGCACCATTCAATAAGACCACAGCTGATTTGATTTTAACCTCAGCTCTATATTCCTTCATATCCAGTAATCTTTCACCTCCTTGGTCATCAAGAATCTATCTACCTCTGCCTTGAAAATATTTAAAAATATGCATCCACTGCCTTTTGAGGAAGGAAATACCAAAGTGTCACAACCCTCTGAGAGAAAACAATGTTTCCTCATCTCTTTTTTAAATGGGCACCCCCTTCTTTTTAAATTATGACTCCTAGTTCTAGATTCTTCCACAACAGGAAACATCTTTTCCACATCGACCAGTTCAAGTCCCCTCAGGATCTTTTGTGTTTCAAGTAAGTCACCTCTGACTCTTCCAAAGTCCAGGGGATACAGGCCTCGCCAGTCTAACCTTTCCTCATAAGGCAACGCACTCATTTCAGGTATTAGCCTCGTAAACTTTCTCTAAACTGCTTCCAATGCATTAACATTCTTCTATAAGTATAGTGATCAGTATTGTACAGGCTCATTGATGCCCTGTATAACTGAAACATAACCATCCTATTCCTGCATTCAATTCTTCTCACTATAAAACTTAACATTCTATTAGTTCTCCTCATTACTTGCTGTAACTGAATATTAAGCTTCTCCATTTTAGGACACCCAGATCTCTCTATTTCTCTCACCATGTGGATGATATGCTTCTTTTTAATTCTGAATAAGATGGTGGTCAGTTTCTTCTTAAACCTTTGAAGTCCTTGGGCTGTTAGGAAGGAAATCTGAGGATCTTGACCCAGGGACGGTAAAGGAAAAGTGATATAGTTTCAAGTCAGAATGTGTGTGGCTCGGAGGGAACTTGCAGGAGGTATTGATCCTATGCATCTGCTAACTTTGTGCTTCTAGATGGTAGAGGTCATGAGTTTGGAAGGTTCTGTTGAAGGAGCCTTGATACGTTACTGCAATGCATTTTGTAGATGGTGCACGCTGCTGCCATATGAGTCAGTTATGGAGGTGTGGATTGAATGTTTAAGGTGGTGGACAGGGTGTGTCTTGGGTGCTGTTGAATCTCTTGAGTGTTGCTGGAGCTACACCCACCAAGGCAAGTGAAAACTATTCTATCACACTCCTGAATCAGTCCTAGTTATGGTGGAACAGGCTTTGAGGCCTCTGGAAGAGAGTTACTCACTACAGAATTTCTTCCCATGCTCTGACATGCTCCTCTGTACCTTGATAGCTGGTCCAGTTGAGTTTCTGGTCAATGGTAATCCCAGGATATTGATAGTGGGGGATTCTGCGATGTTACTGCGAATGGATGTCAAAGAGCGATGTCAGGATTCTCTGTTGTTGTAGAAGGCTGTTGCCTGATACAAAAGTGTTTGCAATCAAAATGTAATTTTGAACATATTTCATATTACATTGGTTTCACTTTTATTGATATGCGCATCATGGTTATTTATTGGGACTAGCTTAGACAGATATACATGTTCTCATGGTTGGTATAAATTAATGCTTATGGGGAAACGAGCGCCATTTCATTTACTGTGGGAGAAACGATTTTGTATTTTTCTGTTCACTCTTTATTGAGTTAATGTTCAGTGTCATGCCATCTTTATGCACATGGCTGAACTTGAAGGATCAGCTCACTCACCCTTCTATCCATTATAAAGGACATAGTCTAGATCACTCTTAGTGCGTATAATTGAAATAAGTGAATACAAAGCCTTATAACGATTCCATAAGGTAACATGTAGATTTGGACAGTATTAGCACTGCCATTAAGGCCCCTCGTTTACTTACCTTGATTGTCAGCTCTCTCCACACCTTCCCCCACCATACCCAGGGCACCAGACCATACCCACTTTACTCATCCTGCTCCCATTCCAGACCCTCCACACACCCCAACATCAGTGGCACATCCTTGCCAGGCCAGACCCTTCATTCAAACTCCCATTCTCCTGCTCCCCTCCCTTGTGTGTTAGTGCTCACTAAGACAAATCTTGGCACTTCATATCTGCTTCTTTCATCATAGAATCATAGGGATGTACAGCACGGAAACAGACCCTTCAGTCCAACACATCTGCGCCAGACATTCTAAACTGATCTAGTTCCATTTGCCAGCATTTGGCCCCTATCCCTCTAAACTCTTCCTATTCATGTACCCATCCAGATGGCAGCTCATTCCATACTCACCCTCTGCGTGAAAAAGTTACGCCTCAGGTCCCTATTACCTGAAGGCATTGCACTTCCCCGACTGCATTTCCTGTTCATCGATCTGTGACCTCTGGCTACTGACCTTTCTGCCATTGGGAAAAATTATTTAGTTTATCAACGTCTTTCAAGATTTTTAACCATCTCCATCAAATTTCTCTCCACTCTGGGGAGAAGAAGCTGAGTTTCCCCATGTCTCTTGACATTTTTGAAGACTTTCCAATCTGGTTTCTCTCGGGTAAATCTCCTTTGCACCTTCTCAAAACTGCTGACAGTTTTCCCAAAGTGTGGCCCAAAACTGGCCAAAATGCTCCCTCTTAGGTCATAATCAGTGCTTTATGAAGATTGGGCATATTTTCCTTGCTTTTGATGTTGTTTATGTTGTAGTTAAGAGAGCCAAGGATACCATAGGCTTTTTCACAGCTATCTCATCTTAGCCGACCAGCTTCAAACATTTTGGGCGGCTTTGAGTCTGACCCACTGTCCCAGCCAGACCCAGAATATGAAAGGACAGTGTCTGACCCACTGTCCCAGTCAGTCCCAGAGTGTGAAAGGACAGTGTCTGACCCACTGTCCCAGCCAGTCCCAGAGTGTGAAAGGGCAGTGTCTGATCCACTGTCCCAGCCAGTCCCAGAGTATGAAAGGACAGTGTCTGACCCACTGTCCCAGCCAGTCCCAGAGTGTGAAAGGGCGGTGTCTGACCCACTGTCCCAGCCAGTCCCAGAGTGTGAAAGGACGTTGTCTGACCCACTGTCCCAGCCAGTCCCAGAGTATGAAAGGACAGTGTCTGACCCACTGTCCCAACCAGTCCCAGAGTGTGAAAGGACGGTGTCTGACCCACTGTCCCAGCCAGTCCCAGAGTGTGAAAGG